CCAAGTGTTTCTCAAAGACCGCCTTGGCTTTGTCTAGGATTTTCTTCTTGAAACGCCCTGGGAATGGTATCTTGGGCTGGTAAGGTGGTGGTGGAAACGTAGGGTTTTTCAAGCTCGGGTGTCTTTTCCACCTCTTTTCCTTTCTCTTTGATCGGTTCCTTCTCCAAAACCTTTTCTTGTTGCGCATCATCTGAGGCTGCCTCCCCTCCGAGTTTCTCATTGTCCTCAATGAGCTTTGTTTAAGATGCTGGAGCTTGTAATTCTTTACCACTCCTCAATGTAATGGCGTTCACATACTCCTTGGGGTTAGGCTCCGGCTTACCTGGTAAAGCCGGTCCTGTTGATGATGTTGAAGCTTGATTCTGCTTAAGCTCCCATATATCCTGTTGCATTGTTGCATGCTGACTCTCAACCCTTTGCTGACCCTGTAACAGCTGCTGTAGAAGCCCACAGACGTCAGGTCCCATCTGATTCTAAGCTGTGCCCTGGTTCTGTTGCTGATTACCCATCGGCTGCGGATTGAACCCTGGTGGAAACTTATGTTGCTGCGGTTGACTGTTGAAGGTGTTGCTTTGAGCCGGTTGGTTCTGCTGATTGTAACTCTGTTGCTGCCCACTGAACTGTTGCTTGGGCTGAAAGCTATTCTGAAATGGAGCTTTTGGAGCATAGCTTTGTTGGTGTTGTTGAGCAGGGTACACTTGGTCTTGAGGATTAGCTACATTTGGGTTCCGGTAAGAGAGGTTTGGATTATTGCTGAAGTTGTTAAACCGCTGATACCTTTGCTGATTCCCTATGTAGTTTATCTCTTCTTGAGTTAGACCATCTTCATTTACATTATCAAAATTCGGCCCTTGCTCATCAAACTCACCTACAAAGTGCATTGGCTTTTGTGTAGCCATTAGAACCTTGTCAAGCTTGCTCTGTAGCTCTCTTATATCTTTCTTCATGCGCTGTTCTTCACTAGATCCTTCTGAACGGTTTGCCCTGTCAAAATCTCCCCCATACGTGTCATTGGACATGGCGAGGTTCTCCACTAGTTCCATTGCCGCATTTTTCTCTTTCCCAAGAAAATTTCCGTTTGAGGCTGTATCGAGTTGGTTTCTGATCTTGGGGAGGGCACCTCGGTATAGAGTACTCAGGAGGGATGCCTCCGAGAAGCCGTGGTGTGGGCATTGGTTGGTATAGCTCCTGAACCGTTCCCAAGCTTCACTAAAGCTCTCGTTGTTGTGCTGCGTGAAACTAGAAATCTGATTCCTTAGCTTGGCCGTGCATGATGTGGAGAAGAACTTTGATAAGAACGCCAGTTTACACTGCTCCCACGTTTGTATAGAACCCCTTGGGAGGTTCTTTTCCCACTGGTGAGCTTTATCACCGAGGCTGAATGGGAACAGGCGCAGCTTGAAGCTATCTTCTGACACGCCATTAATCTTTGTCAGGTCGCAAACTCGATCAAATTGATCTAGATGCTCTAGAGGGTCCTCTCCGGGTAGACCGTGAAACTTGGTGTTCTGCACCATATTGAGTAGGGAAGCTTTAACTTCAAAGTTGTTGTTTTGCACAGGTGGTGCCTATCCCGGCTCTATATTGGTGCGCATTAGCTCGGTCATTTTCTCCAACAAAGACCGGAGGAGGTTGTCTCTGAGCTGGTGGCGGAGGCGGATGAACATGATGGGCTTGCTGCTCATTTCTATTGGCTTGATGTTGGTTTTTCTGAGCAAGCCTTTCATTTCTGTGAGCCTGTTTATGGTTAACGTAGGCTTGTTTTTCATTCCTTTCTGCCTGCGCTTGATTAGCCTGAGCCTGGTGCTCGGCATCTTGAGCCTGCTGCTCTATTCTTTGCTGTTCTGCCATTCCAAGCCGTTCAAAGTGCCTTTCTCTCTTGCGAGCTCGCCTATCAATCCGGTTGATGTTATTGTCGTAAGGGAGAGGCGGTTCTGCGCTGCGAGACCTGGTTTTCATGCACCTGAAAGCAAAGCCAGAACTTGCAAAAGAGTTAGTAAAACAAAAGAAAGTAAAGTCTTGATCTTAAGAACAAATAAGAGACTAATGCTCCCACAAGTTGGCAACAGCGCCAATTGATAACTAAGAGTTTTCCACTCTTTGTAGAGGTTATCAATCCCATGTCTTGTAGTACAAGGGGTTATCAATCCAAACTTGTGTGTGAGACACTAGTCTATGTTACTTGTAAACTTAAGTCAAGATGAACAGGTAAAGGTTTTTATCTAAACTACTTAACAAGCAAATGAACATAAAAATGAGATAAAAGGTGCGGTTTGAACTAGATGAAGATGCAAGTGATTAACAATAAACAAGCAAATGATCGGATGATGATGATATATGATAAAGACAGAAGCTTTAGACAGGATATAAGACTTGGGTGCTTCCAAGCTAGACTAGCAAGTTAATGAATCAGATTTATCAAGCGGTTTCATTTAACATGAACTTAAAGTATGTTAATCTTCTCATGAAAGTATTAAACATCTAAACTGATCCTCTTTCATACCAAAATCCCTTTTGAGAAGCATGAATCAGTCAGCTTTAAGATCCAGTTCAATAAGTCATTTAAGAGAACAAACTATCACTCTCGCGATGAAAGACTCTTAAACCTTTAACCGAGTGGTTCAGACATTTCTACAAACACTTTTGATGCGAGATAAGTCTCAGATCTGAACCTCAAGTGATGTGCTTGGATCTAGCTTAGAGATCTCGTCGGTTAAAGAATGAAACATGCAAGACTAGACCCCTAAACTCGCTAATCTATCATGAAAGCACCCTAATCTACCTATCTAAAGCCGCTTAAACGACTACTCACTGATCATAACGAGCTCACTAAGTCCTTTGCAAGACGTGTAGCTAGTCATGATGAGGAGTTTGATTGCTGGAGAATAAAAGAAATAAACAAGAACAAGATTCTCACGTGAAAACGAGATATCGAATTAGATTAATCAAGTTTCACAAAAGAGGCAAGTTCTTAAAGCTAAAACAGGCAGAAAAATAAGGTAAGATCCAAGATAAGATAAAGATGATTAGGTTTCTGGTCCTAAAATCTATTTATAGTGAAGGGTAAGTGTCGCGGGTCAGCCCGGAACAAACCGGGTACTGAGCAATCTTCTTGGGTCGTTGGGTGAGCACCACGGTGTGTGAGAGAGTGAAGCCGAGGTCTTGACGCCGAGAGGTGCACGTGAGCAAGGATCAAGATGAAGATCTCATGAAAAACACATCAAGAACATGCATAAACCCTAGTCTTCAATCCATCTTCACGTGTGTCCTCCAAGTCACCTTGTTCCTGATTCTGGATTTGTGGCAAGGAACCTCGCCATGTAATGCCGAGGAGCTTGGTAGTCGAGGGGTTCAGGAAAACAGAGTTCGGCATGCAATGCTGAGGTCTTTATACCAAGGTGCACGTTCAACACTTAGTCATTTTCAGCTTCGCTTTTCCTGCGTGCATGCCTTGATCTCAACATACCGAGGGTTTGGTACGAGTTCTAGCTCAAGAATGCTTTCAAGAGGTGAGCCTCGGCCTGAGCAATGTCGAGGTAACGATGCCGAGGCTTGTGGAAACACTTAGCGCGTATTGCAGCTTATTTGGGCTCATATCGACCAACTTGTTTTCCGGAGGAAATAACTTCCGGCACACGACTCCAAATTGACCGATCTCTGGCGTTCCGGAAAGAGCATTCACAGACCTTAAATATTGATGAAAGCTCCGTAGGCTGGTTCGGACCGGAAGGGCTTCGTCCCACGCACTCTTTGAAACTCATCTTATTGGCTTTCGGATGCATGCGAGACAGGCGTGTCTTCAGGAGGTCGTATCTCTCTTCTCACAGGTCCGAATTAGGTGATTTCAACTGTTCTGAGATATTGACTCGATTATCTCCAACTTTGATGAAGACCCTGTAAGCTGATTCGGACTGGAAGTTTCCCGGCCTTGATGATCTTTGAGGCGCGCGGGTGAAAATGAGGTTTAGCCGATAAAAGCTTCCCGCGGTAAGGAAAATGTCCGAGAATCGTATACCGCAGTAAGCCTTTTAGCCGGTAAAAACTTCTCGCCTCGGCATAAAACCTTACCGAGTGGAATTTTCACCCGATAACAATTTTTAGCCGATAATGACCATCCGGTAACGATTTTGGCCGATGTTGTGATCCAGCCGGTACAAGTTTTCGCTGAGAAATTCCTCCAAATGGTTTTCACCATTTTTGACCCTTTTCTTCACTGTTTTCACTCCTGATCCTCCTCTTGAGCTCCAAATAGCCTCCAAAGCATCTGATAAAGACTTCAAAACATGCAAAATTCGATGGGACCTAATGCAAATCCTAAGGCCTATTTTGATGTCTAAAGACTCGATATACATGAGAAAACACATGATATGGATTCTAAAATGCAGCCTAAATGATGCAAAATATAGACATATCAGTGTCGGGGAAGAAGAAGCTCAGCTGCGGGTTTTTTGTTTCTCGTTTTTTTTTTCTTTTTCTCATTTATTTTCCTTTTATTTACAATATTCAAAAAACACCAAAAAATATAATATAAAATTGAATTCATTTAAAGTATATTCCACAATTCCAACAAATAAGAGTATTTAGAATTTTTAGGAGTATAGCAGAATGATTTTTAAACTTTAAGAGCACTCTAGCACAGCGTCCGAATAATCAAAAGCTCTGAAGTGGAGAGAGGGGAATTGGCGGTTTTAACTACTGTTGAGAGAAGCGAACATTCAGACCCTAAAAAAGGAGAAACAAACATCTTTGAATTTATAAAAGATCTCTGACTATGCAATTTTACAAGATAAACTCCTGATCTATTAAAAATAGATATGAAACCCACAAAATTTGAAGAGACAAAACCGGTTTAATAGACGCGTATTGATTCGTTCTCTACCAAAACCCAAACCGATTTGGTTCGATGAGATTCGACTGTACTGGCATCTTCTTCATCTGACGACAGCAAAAATGACAAGTAATCCCTTAAATTGCCTCAAAAATACCAGAAAACATCTTTCGTGTTTCAGTCAGCTTCTTCTTCATCGGTTACTAAATTAGAGATGGCGACTTCTCCGGTCTCTCCTCTTACTTCACAACTCAACCATGAAGCTGTCAATCCCAAGTCTGTGCTTCCAAAATCACCGTTCATGTCGGGTTCTAAGCTCTTCTCCTCGAACATGCCTTGCTCTACTGTTCCTCGACGCACAAGAAGATTAAACTGCTTCGCTTCTGCTAAAGACATGAGCTTTGACCACATCCCAAAACTATTTCGAGGAGACAACCTCAAAGATGGAGGTTTTTCCTTCTCCCTTAGCTTTTTACTTTTGTTCCCCTTCGGATAGATTTGCTCTTAGTTTTTGGCTGTATTTACTGATGAATTTGGTCTCAAAGTTCTGTATTTTCCTCTGATTAGCTTACACGAAGTATCTTAGTATAAATTCTGGAACTGATTGGCCTCGGTGACCCATTTAGCTTTTATACTACTAAGTGTAGTAGGACGATGAAAATGTAGCAAAGATGATTTCTTTGGGTTTGTATATGCTCCACCAATTTCAACAAAGTGAAAGCTTTTTCCCCTTTATAAGTTGTCTGTGTAATGTAATGGTGAAAGATCTTAGTTTGGTTGCTGCAATTCTTGGTTGTAATGAAAACTGTGCAGAAGATAACAAAATTTTAAACAAGCGGTCAAAAAGTAAAGAATACATCTTTGTCTCTGAATACTTATATCTGATACTCTATGTTCCTTGCCTTTTTAAGTGATGCAGAACTTCAAGAATGTACCGCAAGCACATGAAGCTATTGACTATGGAATTGCAGAGAAGATAGCTGACTCGCAGGATAGTTCCTTCGAGAAACGGGTAACTTTCAAATTATACTTTCTAATAACCCCAAAAAAGAAAAAAAGTAAAGTTTGTGTTGACTTTATTCATACTATATGTAGATCAAATAAGTATATGTCATTTGCAGGGATAGTCGCAATTACGAAACATTTTTCATCTCTGTATAGTACATTGGTACTATCCGTAACATATTATGTGTATATACATAATTTATAACCGGTATGCAACGATTCCAATTCTTGTTATCTTTCTTGACTTTAAACATTCTTTAGTTTATTTATCTGATTCACTAATGATAATAAGCAAATAAACAGCGTATCTCTGTTATTGTTTAATTTGCTGACTCCTGTAGCTAGCCTTACAGAACTAGCTAGTTGATTGGTTACATTCTCTAGTTAAATAGCTATGCTACTGCTTTTGATATGATCCTAAAAAACATCTCAAGTCTTACTCTTTAGTTCTTCTGTAAACTGGTTAAATCAACAGTATTATGTCTTTGTTACTATTACTGTGAATTGGGAGCTGAGCTAGTGTATACAAGTGCTTCCATTATGCTAACAAAAATCTCGAGTCTTATTCTTCATTTCTGCTATCAATTAAGAATGAAGTAGTAACTTAACAGGCCTGTGTTCTTGGCTGCAGGGGGATCAGAAATCGATGTCACGGAGACAGTTGATGACATGTTTTTGTCTATCTCCAGCTTTAATTAACAATGCTTATACCTTTGTCTCTGTACAAAACGCAGCCGCTTTAGACAAGAAACCAGGAGTTTGCCGTAACTGTCAAGGCATTGGTGCTGTTCTTTGTAAGTGACACTTCTTTGTTTCTTTTTCAAGTTTAGTTTCTTCTCTGGGAATCTGATACACAAACATATCCTTGAACGTATATTGTTAGTAGGTATTATTTGCCTTGTGTTCTGTTAGAAACTTTTTGTCTTCCGGTGCGACCAAATTGTGTCGTTCAAAAGAGTAAACCGAAACAAACACGATTCACCATAGTGAACTTTTATAGCTATGTGATGACTTTGTTTTGTTGACAGTGAGATGACTCCTTGCTATGTTAAAGGTCATAATGATTTTCTGTTTCGATTCGATATGCTGCAAAATGGCTCATGAGCTTCATACTTATGCCTATATGGTTTTAATTTGCGTGCTTCTTTTTCTTCATTTGTTATGATTTAGGTGATATGTGTGGTGGTACAGGAAAATGGAAAGCTTTTATCGAAAACGTGCCAAAGATGTATATGAGTTTACAGAATGTCCAAACTGTTACGGTTTGTGTCTCTTTCCCGATATTTCTTTGGTTTGGTTTGGTTATGTCGAATTTCCCTGATTGAATGGTGGATCCTATTTGAAAACAGGTCGAGGCAAACTTGTTTGTCCGGTGTGTTTGGGTACAGGTTTACCAAACAACAAAGGCCTTCTTAGAAGGCCTGGTGCTCGCGAGCTACTCGACAAGATGTACAATGGTCGGCTTCTTCCCAATTCATGAGCAGGTATAGTTCATTTTACTACATCTCCTTATAAAGATTATTGTTGGTCCGTTTTAAAAACTTAACAGGGACAAGCTTGTTCCTTTCTCTGATCCTTTTCTCTCTTGAAAATTCTTGCAGATTGTTACTGCAAATGTATTTTTTAAAGACAGAGCCAATAAACATGATTATATAAGCGGAAGAAAACTAACACATTGTGGACGCATGGAAAGCTATAGAAGAATGGGATTTCAAGAACATGCTTTACAATAATTATCAGATTATAATGGGGAAAATTGTAAAAAGAAAACTTCCAACTTTCAAATTTTGACCATTAAAAGCACAAACAATGTAGATAGTTTTAATCATTGTATTAAGCACAACTCTCAAAAGACATGTTTTTTTATATTGCAACAAGCTCTGTTACAAACCCTAAGCTCAGATCTGCCCCATCATCATCACCACCTTAGTAATGCAAACAGAAACAGAGTATCCAAATCTGTCAAGAAAATAAACTCAGGGTATCCAAAAAACCCAAGAACGTAAAGTTCAATGACTTGTTACGAACAGTCGCCATCAGTACATAACATATACTCATTTTGAAGGTGCGAGTGTTTTGATCTCTACAACCAATTGGTTTCAAACAAGAATGCATGGCCATGGCAGAAAAGCATTGTCAATGAGAAATTAGCTATGATCGATAGAAACCAGAAGTGCTCAGATTCAGTGATTTTACACTTCTGTTTACAAGGCCCATCTGTTTACACTCCTCTGTTTACACAAGATGTACACTCTTCTGTACAATGGTCGGCTTCTTCCTAATTCATGAGCAGATAAAGAATGCTCCTTTCGATGTCTATCAAACTGAATATGGTGGTGAAGTCACTTACCCTAGCCCTGGTCAGGTAAAACAATATCAAAAACACTTTGAGTTTCCTCTGTTCTCTTATGTAAAGTCATCAATAAGGATGTGTGAGTGCATGTGATTGTCTGCAATGTAGCTAGTTATGTATCCTATAACCACAAGATGGATCTTCATTGGTAGTCATTCGTGTTCTTTCCCGTGCTTTTTCTCCATCAAAGCATCTCGTCTTGATGGTTTAACTGTTTTTTGGGTCGGTATATTCCTTATGTGAACATTGTTTCTGTTTCTTATTGTAATTTTATATGTTTTTAGATGATTGGCAGTGAAATGATAGATTTTGTGTTCTGTTTGATCCATTTCATCTTAAAACTGTATACATAGGCGACCAAAAAGTGGTAGTGGGTATCGTGTGTCAAAATGGATGACATATCATGGTCTAGCTCTTAATGTCACAACAGAATTAACCCCTAATGTGCTTTATCAAAAGCACCTTAGGGAATCTCTTTTTTGTTAAATCATCAAAAAATCAATACAACTTTAGAGCTAAATGGTCAGAAACAAAATAAGAAATTCAAGAACTAGAGATCGGTTCTTTTTTTAGCAAGAAGTTGATATTTGCAATTTCCAGAGCCTGAAAAAAAAAACAGAGAAATTAAATAAGATATTGATTCTAGATTTACAGAAGAAGAATAAATAATTGTTTAGAGAGACAAAGTATTAGATGAAAACTCACTGGGATCAGTTATGGTAATGATACCAGAGCCTTCGAAATCGCAATTCGAAAAGTGTCTTCCTTGAGCTTGATAATAAAGATTCATGGCCACAGAAGCAAGGTTAAAGAGATCATTAGGAGAATAACATGCACCTCCTTCTGATATAATCTTACAATCGACTTTAGAACATGCGTAATTTATGATTTGTAAAAGTTTTTCGTTCTTCGTAGCTGGTTTCGCCACGCACCAATCTCCAAGGCTCTGCAACAAAAGAACATAAAACAGTATTTTAATGATGTTAAAAAATAAAAAATTGATTTGTGGTTTTGTTTTCTTCTTTGAGTTATCTTAAACATGTACCTGTGCCTTGGCTCTCACGAAACTTCCCTCTATTAAGATACACATCAAAAATAAAATTAAGATTGTTAGAGAACTTGGAGAATCTTCCGATCATATAATTATAAATTCTATCGAATTTGATGATTAGTTGTGATTAAATTACCCGAGAAAAAGTGTAACAAGATGATGAAACAAAGGCATAGATGTGCTTTAGCCATGTTCGATTCTGTTCGAGGTGCGAAAGCTCTTCTGTACCTTTGCTTACATAAACTAAAAAATTAGGGCAACTCTAATGTCAGTGAGATAAAGACTAAATTACCCCTAATAGTGTTCTAATATTCCGAAACTACCCTCGTAAATTTTCCTCTCGGTGTCTCTGCGGAAAATTGGTTTTTTCAGACCCAGTCTTTCCAAAAATGTTAAATCTATACATAAACTTATGTACAGTGCTATTTCATACCTAATCTATTTAAACATTTGAAATCCAGCCTTAATCTTCTTTTTAGTGGCATAAACCAATGTCCGTGAGCAACCTGTTAACTCTCCGTCAATTAATGTCTATGTGGACGCCACGTAAGAGACGGCAGCATTCGTTGTTTAAAAAAAAGACCACAACTTAGAAATTAGAAAACGACACCATTTTGTAAAGTCATCGTCTTCAACCTCTGGACTGAACTCACAAACGAATTAGGGATTTGAACACCGGAGAGATAATAGTCATCCAAGTCTTCACCACCTACTACAATGATTTTGTTCTTCCACGTTGAGCAAGTGTGGCTATCTCGTGCAGAGGGTGGTTTCCCAGATGTTGCAGCTCGTTTCCACGCCAAAGACTCTAAACAAAATTCAAACCAGTTCAACTACATGTGTTTTAGTTCAAACAAAACTGATTACATGCATCCAAAAAACCAAGAACCAGAATCTCTCTCAGCTTCCATATCAATTAACATAAATGATATGAGAGGATTAACAACGAAACTGAAAGAGCAGCCTGAAGCTATACCTGTGTTTAGTATGTTAAGGTCATTATAGAATACTTCATCATCCGAACCAGAAGATTTCCCACAGCCGCCAAATATAAAAATGCGTTTGTCAACAAGTGTTGCACTATGAGCCTCTCTTGCCTCAGGTCTTTCGCCTCTAACATCCTGGCTTATCCAAGTATGTGAAGCTATCACACAAAAAATAAGAGACACACCGAATAAAGAACTGAATTCAAACTCAAAAACCTCACACTAGAAAGCATTTAACACAAGCATTTTCTTGATCTAACCTGACAACAAAAGAAGAGATGGAAGAGCTTACAAGTATCTAGAATGTGAAGATCGTTAAGATGCTTGGTCCCATCAGTACCACCAAACACAAAAAGGTTATCCCCAACTGTTGTACAGCTGTGACGACTGTCTCTCGGAGAGGGCGGTACGCCTTTGATTACCAGCTGAGTCCATTTCTACGTTTCTGCAACCAAATTACCACAAATGAGACTGTAACAACAGTAAAGATTTTGAAAACAGGACTTAGCAAGTAACTACAAAACATCAACACAACAGCACCCCAACGATTAAAAAAGCTAATCTTCAATCATTCAAGTACGGTACAACAAGGAAAGAAACAGTAAATATGTACTCCAAAAAAGGACAAAGATCAAGATTGGCAAATTGATAAGTTTTTGAGAATGGAGCCTAGTAAATGGGTGGGGGAATGGGGTCTACCATACGAATGAACAAAAAGAAAAGAAAAAAGACCTAATCGCAAGTCACAACACAGATAGAACAAAGATTGAGACATTTTTCAAAACCCACTACGAGAATCGACACAGACGAACAACCCTTAGAAGAAGAAAAAGGCAACATTTTCCACCAAGATGATGTAATCCGAAGAACTCACCAGCGTCGAAGACATGAACTTGATTGGTTAAACCTGTGTGAACATTTTCCACCAAGATGATGTAATCCGAAGAACTCACCAGCGTCAAAGACATGAACTCATTAACGATGTCGTTTTCTCCTTTTTTTTCGAAACTAAAGCATCTTAAAACAACGACGCCTCCTACGTGGACGACACGTAGCCAACACTTGACAGAGTTTTTAACAGCGGTTTGCTTAAAATTGGTTTTCGCACGCCATACAAAGTTTTGAGGGATGCAATTCAAATTAAAAAGAAGATTAAGACTGGATTTCAAATGTTTAAATAGATTAAGTATGAAATAGCACTGTACATAAGTTTATGTATAGATTTAACATTTTTGGAAAGATTGGGTCTGAAAAAACCATTTTTCCGTGTCTCTGCCTCTCTACTCCAAAACTCAACAATCTCTACCCATAAGAGCAACTTGATCTCAATTTCGACATAAAGAATGCTCCTTTCGATGTCTATCGAATCTAACGTGGTGGTTCACTTACCATGGCCCTGGTCAGGTAAAACTATCTCAGCAAACACATTGGCTTTTCCTCTGTTTTCTTATGAAATTCATCAATAAGGATGTGTGGCTGGCTTGAGTGAATGTGATTGTCTGGAGGAGATCGTCATTCGTGTTCTATCCTCAACTTTCTCCATCGAAGGTTCTTGTCTTGATGGTTTTAACTGGAGATTGGGTCCGTGTGTTCTTTATCTCAACATTGTATTTAGTGAAATAACCGGATTTATGTGTTCTCTTTGGTCTATTTTCGTCTGCAAAATTTTATAAGATCTTAGAATGATCTGTGACCTAGAATCATATTTTTGTTGATTGATAGAAAATAATTAAAATGGTTTTTAGATTCGGACAGTTGAAGTTGTCTTTTTATTGAAATGTTTGGCTAAGATATTGGTTTTTTGGTTTAGGTAAAGAAGATTGATTCAAAGGAAAGTGTGAGGCCGGTTTATCACTTTGATACTATTTTTGGACAAGATGAGATGAAGCTATGCCATTTTTTTTACTACTAGCTAAAGCCAAATTGGACGAAGCTAAACTTTTGGATTCTCTATGTGGACGAAGTTAAACTTTTGGATGACCATTTGGTTGATGTGTTTCCTGATTCGGCTGCATAAGAATGGTGATTAGGTTCTTAAACGGAAACGAAATGTCCCTGAAATTGATGACATTTGGAGTTTTGGATTCTTCACTAAGCAATATTGGATCCAAGTTTGAAGCTATGTTTCGTCAGATAGGTCTTCGATTGAAGCCCATCGTCAAGTTTATAAGCCTAACTTGGATCCTAAACTCCTCATTGAAGAACCCGAGTAGCCAATTGTCATCAGTTTCAGGGATATCTTTGTCTCCGTTCAAAGACCTAAACAGGGTTTGATAGATATAGTTCATTAGTTTTCCAGCTTCAGATCTAAAGTAGTATTCTGACTTGGAATGGTAAAGGATCCTTGCAGTCTCTATCAATGTTCTTCAGTTAGCATTTTGCACTAATGCTTCAATGATTCTTGTTACACATCTAAAATATGATTTATGAGTTTTTGGGTTATGCAGGAAACTTTTTGTGGACCTGGTGCTAATAAGAAAACAGAGGATTTTGTTTGGCTGTTTGTGACCTTGTCTGCTTATTTGTAGATATGTGTACAGTGTATGAGAGTTTGTTTGGTCTCTCTCTATTTCTCTCTCCACACTGTAAATTTTTCACCTCCAAAGAAAGCTTCTCTGCTTTAGGAAAAGAAGTGAGAGACGCAGGCTATGTACCAGAGACTAAGTATGTTCTTCATGATATCGATGAAGAAGCTAAAGAGAAAGCATTGATGCATCACAGTGAACGGTTAGCTATTGCTTTCGGGCTTATAAACACGCCTCCTGGGACGACGATAAGGGTGATGAAGAACTTGAGGATGTGGATTGTCACAACTTCATAAAGATATTGTCGAGTATTGAAGATAAAGAGTTCATTGTAAGAGATAACAAGAGGTTTCATCATTTTAGAGATGGTAGTTGCTCTTGTGGAGATTATTGGTAGAATTTTTGTATGAAAAGATTGTTAATTTTTAACAAGTTTCACTAATACTGTTCTCATTTTTATTGCTCCTCGTTGAAACTAAATTGAATTGATTTCTTTGCTAAAAATGCTGGGAAAAATGCCATTTTAATCCCCAACTTTCAAATTTCAGTCAATTTAATCATGAACTATTGGTTGAACCCTTTAAACTACAAAGTTATATTGACTTTTTCTTTAAATCCATAACTTTGTTTGACTAAGCCAAAAAAAGCCCAACGTTAATTTGATTAACAGATCCATTTAACAGGGTTAACTCCTTTTAACGCTTCTGTTAAATCAAAATGACAAGCTTAATGCTAATTAAAAAAATTCTGAAATCCCCAAATAAATCAACTCGCAAACTCTAATTACTGAATCGATTTCTCAGAAAATCGATTCCACACCTACCTTAATTCCAAAATCAATTTCGATTCTCTCATCAAAATCATATACCTCGTTCGTATCCGTCTTTCTCAATCTCATCATGCCGAAAAGTAAGCGTAAGAAAAGTTCATCATGTCGAAGTAAAGAACCCGAAGTTGAGGATCAGGTTGCAATTGAAGGCGGGGAAGATGAGCTTGAACGTGACATTGTACCTGGAGATGACTGTGCGGTTGTTGGTGATGAAGATTTCAATGAGGCTGATGATGAAGCTGTTGATGAAGAAGAAGATACGAATGCTGCAAGAGTAGAAGAAGAAGATAAAAATGCTGAAGTGCTTCCAGAAGAACGATGCGAGTGGAATATTTTGGAGAAGCAGCTAGAGATGAAGATGCTGGGGTTGATGAAGACAGTGATGTATGGGATGATGAGAAGATCCCCGATCCACTATCATCCGACTCTGATGACGACGACGAGGAGAAAGCAGAAAGAAGAGAAAGGCAGAGAGAGCTCGAAGAACCCGAGGAGCTGCTAGTGTTAGGGAAAACGTTCAACTCTGCTGATGATTTCAAGCTTGCGGTCCTACGGTACTCCTTAAAAACTCGATATGACATCAAAATCTACAGGTCACACTTCCAAGGCAATCCACGATTTCGACGATACCAGATAGTTCAGAAGAAGAATTCATCGATTCAGGAAGTAAAAGAGGAGAGGAGATAGAGAGAGACAAGAGTCGAAATTTCTATGAGCTAATCGATATCTCAATCAACGGAATTGGAGAAGAAGATTTTGATTTAGGGGAAAATTAATTTTATGATTTAGGGTTAAAAAATTTCGATTTGAGATTTATGTTTGTGGAAGCTTGTCGTTTTGATTTAACAGAAACTTAATAGAGGAGTTAACCCCGTTAGTTGGGTCTGTTAATCAAATTAACGCCGGGCTTCTTTTTGGCTTAGTCAAACAAAGTTAGGGATTTAAAGAAAAAATTAATATAACTTTGTAGTTCAAAGGGTCTAGCCGATAGTTCATGATTAAATTGGCCTAAATTTAAAAGTTTGAGATTTAAATGGCATTTTTCTCTAAAAATGCTATACTAAGAATAAAAGTCACGCACCATCTGTGGTGATCGAACCCACGGCCACGAGATTAAAAGTCACGCGCTATACCACTGAGCTAAGACGGCTTTGGAAAATTGTGTGAAGTATTTATAATTAGATCAAATTAATCGTATCACAATACACACTTTCTATATACATACATATTATTAATCAAACTCTCACTGTCTCACTTTGGCTTGCCATTTCCTTTTTCTTGATTGACTTGTGCAAGAAATATACATCTTTATCCCAGCTAACAAAGCTCCTCCCTTAAACCATTCAATGTCATCGTCCATAAACCTAAACGCCACCACAACGAGGATATTTGCTAAAGGTGTAGCGCCGAAGCTGACGACATTAGAGAAAAGAGAAGAAGCCAAACACACAAGACCCACAAGCCCTAAAGGCATTACTTGCCACGCAAGTGATAATCCAATTAGACTCAAAACGTATAACGGTTTCCCCTGCTTAAACGTCTCAAAATCTTCCTTGATATCTTTGAATTCTCGGCTTACAAATAATCCAACCAAACATATCAACGTTGCAATCATAGAAGCGTTGGTTTGCATCTTCAGGACCGCGGAAACTTTACTCTCTCTGTTAGGTATGACCTTTTGGAACCTTAATTGCATGATACATAGAGATAAAGAGAAGGCTACCATGCCAAAGAAGGCGCACCACACACCATAACTCATTTTCCAGCCTTCACCTTCACAAGGATAATAGGCATCATCTGAAGATGTTATGCCTATGGGAACTCCACAAAGGATGATGGATGATATGATAATTTTTGTTTGTTGATAATTGCTGTAAATAACCACTTGTGTTGTAAAGATCCAAAAGAAGAACACACAATGCGTTCTTTCAATTGCATAGAGTTGACTATAAGCAGCAAAAAGCACACCGAGGGAGATGTGAAGAAGAAAGAGTTTGCCAAAAGAAGAACAAGAAGAATAATAAGAAGAGTATGAAGAGAGAGTTTGTTTCTCTATGGTTGGAGAATAAAAAACGCCATAAGAGGAGAAGAAAGGCTGTAAATGGAAATGCAGCATTTTGGACCATAGATTGAAGCCATGTGCCTTTAAACTGTTTTGGGTCATCACAAACATCTCTTCCTGTTTGAATGAAGTATAAGTTTAGAAGAAGTGTGGATGAAGCATGTTTAGAAGACCAAACCCGAACTGAAAAAGATCCAGATCCACCAGTTTCGTGTCTTGAAAATTTGTGACCGATCAAGTAGAGCTCTAGGTTGATTCTCAACTCTAATAGTATCTTCTTCTCCTTCTAAACCAAGCAACATAAATTATGATAAGGTTTCTGGGCTTCCAACTTAAAACCAGTTGGCGATAAGTGGGGAGGTTCAAGTCTCTTATATATTAGTGTTAGTCCCTTAAAACTTCCGATATGGAATTCTAACACGCCCCCTCGAGATGATGGCTTTTATCAGCCCATCTCGAACCAAATCCCACTTTAGGACCGATAATAAACCCTTTTTGGGCCACTTGGTCAACAAACAAGGCTCTGATACCATGTTAAATTTCCTGAGCTTCCAACTTAAAACCAATTGGCGATAAGTGCAGAGACCCAAGTCTCTTAGATATTAATGTTAATATTTTTAAACTTCCGATATGGGATTCTAACAAATTATATATTTAGTTTATACGAATTAATACATTATCGTTGTGACATGAATTTATATATATATATATATATGTAGGTATATCTTGTGTTATTCCGTCCAAAAATTTGTTGTGGAAGCCCATGAAAATTTCTTGTGAAGAACAGGCTATAGGGTTTTGATGAAAAGGTTACCTTGTTTTCAGTAATTTGTACAGAACAGTCTAAGATGGAATTTGCTCATATATAGAAAGGAACAAAGAAAGAGACCATGACCTTCTTTTTTTTCGGGCAAAAAAGAGACCATGACTTTGCATCATATATATGTATTTATTTAATTAAATTTATGTACTGTATTAGTGATGTATATATATGATCCTTTGGTGGGGAAAGACCTAGATCAAGAGAAGTCTAAAGGGTCTTCCCAACTGGAGAAGGTAGTTGCTACGACTAATGCTGGAGGAAGAGTTTCTCTGCCTCGCGAATCCAAGTCAGTACACAGATTTGTTCAGCCAACATCCAGCTCGTCTCCTCAGAGTACGAGTAGGAAGAGGAGGAACAGAAAGAAAGCCACCAATTCAAAAAATTAATGTCTGGATTCTTCTGGAATATAAGAGGGTTTAACAAAAAAAAGAAACAAAACATTGTGAAAAGTTGGTGTAGAGAAAATGAGTTTATGTTTGGGTGTCTAATTGAGACTCGAGTTAAGGAGGATAAGGCGTATAAGGTGGTGTCCGAGGTGTTCCTGGGCTGGTCTTTTTTAAATAACTATGGTCACCACCGTTTGGGCAGAATTTGGGTGCTTTGGAATGATGCTGTTCGTTTAACTCCAGTGTTCAGTAGTAGTCAAATGATTACAGTGTTAGTAAAGCTGCAAGACAAAGAGGAGGAGTTTCTATGTTCTTTTGTTTATGGTTCAAATTTCGCCGATGATAGGAGGGAGCTTTGGGATGATTTGAGGAGTCATTTTTCTTCTCCCATCTATAGACGAATGCGCTGGTTAGTTATGGGGGATTTCAATGAGATCCTTTCCATAGATGAACATTCGGGCGATGGCGAGGGCTCTGTTTCGGCGTCTGGAATGTGGGATTTTCAGGACCTGGTTCGAGAAGCTGATTTGAGTGATATGGGGTTTCATGGACCGTGCTTTACTTGGTGTAATAAGAGAGAGGAAGGTCTTATTTGCAAGAAACTGGACAGATTGCTGATGAATGATCACTGGCTAGACAATAACTCAAACTCATACTGTGTTTTTGAAGCAGGAGGAGGTTCTGATCATCTTCGGTGCAGGTTCTATGTCGATGGAGAAATGACGAGAAAGAAACGGCCATTTAAGTTCACAAACGTGATTGCAAAGTTACCAGAGTTCCAAACGGCTTTGCAGGGGTTAGACGACTCCCCTGTTTCATTCAACCTCTGCCTTGTTTAGATTCTCAAAAAAGCTGAAAAACCTAAAGCCAGTAGTCAGGAGGGTATCAAGAGAAGCGCTGCAGGGAATTTCTTTGAGGGTGAAATCGAATTTTGAAACCTTGTGTTCTAAGCAGGAGCAACATCTGCAGAACCCCACAGCTATATCTCAGAGGGAGGAAAGCGAAGCTTTTAAACAATGGGAACATTCATCCAACCTTGAGGAGCGTTATTTAGCGCAAAAGTCTAAGCTAAACTGGTTAAACGCAAGCGATAAGAACACCAAAGTATATCATCGGGCAATGAAGATACGAGAAATCAGAAATGGTATTAGGGAGTTGCAGCTTCAGGATGGGACAATGGTAATGGGATCGATGGAAATTAAAGCAGAGGCTGCTAATCATTTTAACTCCTTCTTGAATCATCATCCGACTAATATTCATCAGGTTTCGATTGATGAGATTAGGGATCTGATTGATTATCGTTGCTCACCTGTTGATCAACAAAATCTTGTCGCTGAAGTTACTGAGTCTGAGATCAAGGCTGTTTTGTTTTCTCTGGCTGCAAACAAGTCTCCTGGTCCGGATGGTTATACGGTTGAGTTCTTCAAAGAGTGTTGGCCGATAATAGGGAAAGATATGGTGGTAGGGATTCAATTTTTTTTCTTAAAAGGCTTTCTTCCGAAGGGGGTTAATTCTACAATTCTTGCGTTGATACCGAAAAAAGAGCAAGCTAAGCACATGAAGGACTATCGACCTATTGCGTGTTGCAATGTGATCTATAAGATCATTTTGAAGATCCTTGCGAACCGTCTGAAGGTGATCTTGTCATTGTTTATCGCTCCAAACCAGTCTGCTTTTGTTCAGGACAGACTTCTGATGGAGAACCTGCTTTTAGCGTCGGAACTGGTTTCGGGATATGATAGAAACACGATCTCATCTACATGTGCTCTTAAGATAGACATCTCCAAGGCTTTTGATTCTGTTGAGTGGAGTTTTATTTTGACAGTGTTAGAAGCTTTGGACCTACCTCAAGCTTTTGTTCACTGGATTCGGCTTTGTATCTCGACAGCCTCGTTTTCTGTCCAGGTCAATGGAGAATTATCTGGGTACTTTGGAGGCTCTCGGGGATTACGACAAGGATGCTCTCTTTCTCCTTATTTATTCGTTATATGTATGAGTGTGCTCTCATACAAGCTTGATAAGGCGGCAATGGCAAGGAGATTTGGTTTTCATCCAAGGTGTTCGAATCTAAAGCTCACTCACCTCTGTTTTGCGGATGATCTTATGATCTTCTCAGACGGTAAGCTGCGATGGATGGAGGGTATTCTCCATGTTTTTGAGGAATTCTCGACAATGTCAGGTCTGCAAATTAGTGCAGAGAAGTCAACTGCTTATATGGCTGGAGTTTCTGATGCGACAAGGCAAGACATAAGGCAGAGATTCTCTTTTGAGATTGGTACTTTGCCAGTTAGATATCTGGGTCTTCCCCTTCTAACAAAGCAGATGCGATCTCTTGATTACTCTCCTCTCATTGACAAGATAAGAAGCCGTTTTAATACTTGGACAGCAAGGAGTCTGACATTTGCTGGAAGACTACAGCTTCTCTCATCTGTAATTGCAAGTTTGGTTAATTTTTGGATGTCTTCTTTTCGCCTCCCAAAAGGTTGCATCGAAAAATTAACAGTCTATGCTCGGGGTTTCTTTGGTCGGGGGCTAATCTTAACCCAAGACGAGCAAAGGTGGCGTGGATTGATGTTTGTAAGGCAAAGGAGGAGGGTGGTTTAGGCCTAAAGAACCTAAGCATAGCGAATGAGGTCTGTATTCTGAAGCTGGTGTGGAGACTTATGACGGCGAGCCAATCTTTATGGGTTCAATGGGTGAGATCGAGCCTGATGCGAGGAAATTCCATTTGGTTAACACCTAGTCCAACAAATCAGTCTCCAGGCTCCTGGATGTGGAAACAGATCCTACGAAGCAGGGAGTTAGCTGAGGAATTCGTCAAGGTGGAGGTACACAATGGTCAACAGACCTTATTCTGGTATGACAAATGGTCTTCAATGGGGAACTTGTTGTCTATCTTTGGGGCTCGGGGGTGTGTAGACTTGGGTATTCCACACAACTCTACAATGGAAGAAGTGATTCTCACTAGACGAAGAAGACACCGGAACTCAATGTTAAATCAGGTGGAGGATGCTATCGATGTGGTTAAACAGAGATATCAAGCAGCAGAGTCGGATGTTTTCTTGTGGAAATCAAAAGATACTTCCTACAAGAGTATTTTCAGTACTAGAGCGACGAGGACTCAGCTTACACAGCATAACCCGAAAGTTTCTTGGGCTAAAGGGATATGGTTTAAACATCATCACCCGAAGTTCAACTTCATTACCTGGTTAGCCTTGCTCAATCGTCTTTCGACGGGGGACCGCATGCAAACATGGAGTTCAAATGCTCACGCAGGATGTACATTCTGCAATGATCCTCTTGAAACACGCGACCATCTGTTCTTCACGTGTTCTTACTCGGCGAGGATATGGTCAAAGCTGTCAAGGGGAATTCTGCAACATGATTATACGGTTGAATGGAATGCTCTAGTAAATAGAATTTCGTGCACCCAAAGGAATCTGGAGGATAGTTTCATCATCAGGTATCTGTTCCAGCATACTATCTATGCTATTTGGCGAGAAAGGAATGCAAGGCGACATGGCTCACCGCCAACGGAATGGCTTAGGATGGTTAAACTCATTGACAAAGGAGTTCGCAACAGGTTCAGCTCGATTCGGCTGCTCGGAGATACCAAATATGAAGGGGGACTACAAAGGTGGTTTGCCACTATCTCTCTCTCGACATAGCAAGGACGCAGACGCAAGGAAAATTTTTTTTAATGCTTTAGAAAATTTTTTGTTTTTGGCCTTTGCAAATTAACTGCTCGCATTGAAGATGTAGAAACGTTCTTTTTTTGTTTGAATAAAATTTAACATTCATTCAAAAAAAAAAGATATACAGTGAAATAAGCAAAATTAAAGTATATATAGTCAAACATGCCAGCCAATATAAAGCAATTCAACGCGGTGCACATTATCTACAAATATTGTTTTCTATTGTTTAAAAAGATTTGTTCGTAGTTCAATTCGTACGTAATGCTTCGAACTAATCTAAAACAAACTATTTCCACACGAAATTGAATATATTGTGGGAAGACAGAACACAAATAATAAAATAGAATAAAATAATTCGTAAATCATAGGGCCTTTCTAACTCGTTGCTAACACCATTTTGAATAAGTTTCCATGGCCAGATTGAGGTTGTTTTTGTCCGATTATGTATCACTTTAAATTTTTAATTATTTCAAGTTCCATAATTATTATGAGTTGTATAACGTTTTTCTCACCTTTTTTATGCTTATATTTAACTTATCAACAGCTTTTGTTTTAGCCAATTTGATCAACAATTTGCAGTTTTTGGTCTTCATTTTCAAATAATTTTTTTTTAACGTTTCAATTAGCTATTAGCATTGTCACGGTTCGCGGCTCACCCATTTACTCCAACGATTATCGAATCAACATCGTATTTTTTTCATGGGATTAAATAGTTAATAATCTTGATATTTCTACTCACAATCTTTTTATTTAATAAAAACTATGATCAATAGTTTTGTACAGAAATACATATATATATATATATATGACAACAAGTTGACACGACATGGTTCAATAACAGAAACTAGTGAACTTTTTCGCGCCTTGCGCGGACTGATATAATTTTCAATTGTTTGTTTGAAAATCTAATAGTAGTTTAGATTCATTTGTTTTTTATTCTCTATTGTTGAGTTTGTTTGTTAGATTTTTTTGTATTTTAATGTTTGAAGATATGATTGTGAAAACAGCATATAAGATAATAGATAAAAACATATTAGCATCCAAATAATTTAGTTTAAATAGTTTTGAGATATTTTGATCACTGTTCTATGTATTTTAGACATAATTTTTTGAAGTACCATACAAATTTATTCAATTTTGGTCACTATTCTATGTATTTTAGACATAGTTTTTTGAACTATAGTACAAACTTTTTTTTTTTAAAAGAAGAAGTTAAATAATTTAGAAGGGTATGAGAGAATTAGAAAGAAATCGTATATATTTATACTAAAATATTTGAAGTCGAAAGCCCTAATCTAGAAATCACAAATACCGTCATTCTATTAGACTATTTTTTGATTTTTGATTTTTTGTTAGATTTTATTTTTATAAAATTTTAGAAACGATTTGATTGACAACGGAATGAAGCATTAAACCACAATAATTTAGAGCGGTTTGTTTTAAATTATTTTAACGCATCATCAGATAAGAACCAGTAAAAAATGGCATGTAATAAAAATGGGGTTTAAAGATCTTTTAACAGCAGAAACTCATTCTGGAGATAACACGTAAGCAAAACATTCTGAAACTCGCTGTGGAGCCGACACCTAAGCAAACTACTATACAAATAAGCGACATTCTATTAGTTAGAGATGATTTCATTTTTTTTAACGACATTCCATTAGTTAGATATATATATATATATATGTATATATTCCTTTTTTTACTTTTTTGTTAGAATCTTTTAAAAAATTTTGGTTTTATAAAATTTTAGAATCGGTTTTATTTGACAGCGAAATTAAGCATTAAACCATAATAATTTAGAGTGGTTTGTTTTAAGTTACTTTTAACACATCATCACATTAGAACCAATAAAAATGATATGTAATAGCTAAATAGGATAAAACTGTCTTTTTGCAGCCAAAACTCATTTTGGCGGTAACACGTAAGCGAAACATTATGAAACTCGTTGTGAGCACAGCACATCTGCAAATCACTACACAAATAAGTATATAGATTTATCTGACCATCATTGTGTACTGAATTATTCCATGGATTGGAAAAAAGTCAGCACTAGTTCTTAAATAGGTATATTTTCAATGAACAAAGATACGATGTGCTCTTTCAAGAACTCGGGGTGGGTGTAGGCATCTTGGTACCTATAGAAGACATCGATGACACGCGAAAGGTTAAGAAATCGCATCAGAAGAGGGAAAGGACATGAGTGAGGCCTCATTAGCTCTTGGTTCAAGTCCTTCCATGCATCTGAAACAATGTTATCTATTGCTTCCACGGCTTGTTCCTTTGAAACACCAAATTGCTTCATATAGCAGTCAATACCCGTTGCTACATGCTCCCTTTTGTGTTCAAACTGCAACCACAATATATACATATATTACATGTATTCAATTCGAGAAACATTATGTGTATAGCTACAGATTAGCTACAAAGTTTTCATGGCTATTTAAAAAACCATGGTTTTAGCTTTTTATTTCCATGTTTTTAATCCTTTTGTGGATTAACCACAAAGCTATAGCTAAGAAGAAAAAAAACATGTGCTAAAAAAAACCAAAGCTATAGCCACATGTTTTTTTCTTCTTAGCTATAGCTTCGTGGCTAATCCACGAAAGGATTAAAAACATGGAAATAAAAGATAAATTTTATGTGTTCACCTCGTAGCTAGATATGTCATCCGTGAATCGGCTGATTATCTCAGAAGCTACCCTAATTTTAGGGTTTGAGCTTAACCATTCAAAAGCATCAAGTTTTGCGACATCTCCCATTCCCGCGAATGTCATGGCTATCAAGGGATAATAACCAGAAGACAAGATTGCATTCTCTTTATACTCGTCAAATGTAGCAATGTAATTATTTTTCAACCACTTTGCCTCTTGCATATATCCATTCGCTGTTGTTTTCAACTAATTATGAAGAATCCGTTAGGTTTGAATATATATAAGGAACAATAAGGTTGATTCTTGTGGGGTCTTAACTGATTTCTTAAGGTGGAAGCCACAACCAGACCTTCCTTCCTTCTCAAGTTCCTCTTCGAGTTTATCATAGAAACCTACCGTGACACGGTAAATGTGCTTCATGCTCTCAGGTATCCCGTTCGGGGCAACAGGAAGCCACCTGCGTTGGAGCCATCCACTGTATAAGTCATAGCCATAAGGAACTTAAAATCTATGATACATATTACATAGTTTAAATATTTGCAAATGGAGTACTTTTCCATTCCATCTGTGAAAAGCTCTAGTTCCTCCATTGTGCCATACGCATCATACATATCATCAAGCGCTGTGAATAGGATTAGTGCAACAGCTGTTATAACTCGTGCTTGAGAATACTGAGGCTCGAAATATGCTCCAAGTGACCACAAGTACGCCTCTGCTATTCTATGTCTGGAATATGTTACTTTAGTTTCAATTTCCGTTTTATTGTACCACCTGAAATGTAATGAAAGAAGCTCAAGTTCATGCAAGACAAAGGTTGTATATATGTATCGAGTAGCTGGGATAGTTTACCTTGTGACGCAAGCAAGCTCTTTGCGATGTAACGTCTGTAGCAGATTAAAATCTATCTTTGCAAACTCAAGGATTGTTGCGTCATGCGACTCTTCTTCCTCGTAGTATGAGATATATTGTCTTGTTTCTATCCTTGAGATGCCTTTGTGGTAGGGATGTTTAAGGGCATTTTTTATGCGTATTGTGAGATGGTTGTTTGATCGAGAAGAAAATTCTTTTAAATACTGGCTTGAGAAGGCGAGAGCTTCGTCAATAATGCCTTCTCCTTGTGTACCCCATTGTGCAGCTTCATACAAGCTTAGAATACCGTATTCGTCTGCGGCTAAGTGTCCTTTAAACTTCCCATCTCCATCCCTGAACTTCTCAAATACATCTAGCGAAAACCATGCAAAGTTTCTTGTGTTTGTCATTCATATATCTTAGTATATGTATATATATTTTTTGGGAACAGCCATATATCTTAGTATATAAAGTTGAATGTTTTTAATCTCTTCATTCACCTAATACATGTTATGTATTTAGTTTTTTTTTTTTTTTGTCAACGTTATGTATTAAGTTGATTGATAAAATTTTGACACGTATATAAAAATTATAAATAAGATTGTACCACATAATACTAACTATAAAATGAAAAAAAAAAATGATTCATAATTCTAATATTAAAGCCACCAAATAAAAAGGAAAAATAAAAATATAGAAATTTCATAAAACCAAAGTTAATAAAAAATTAAAAATTTCGAAAAAATTTATAACTGATTATTAATATTAAAAAATAAAGTTACTAGAAAAGAGTTAAATTATTGTAAATTTAAAATTAATAATTTAAGAAAAAAAATGATTATCATTTTTTTTGTAAAACAGTAAATATTTTGTTTTTCCACCACTACAGAAACAAATTAGACCGACGATTTTAAGATGAATCATTGTAAATTAGTCGTTAACTGATAACAGATTTACGATAATTCATTTTAAATTGATCAGTATAGTTCAAATTTTAATTATTTTGCTGCATGCGAGAAATTTAATTGGTTGGAAATTTGGTTAAAACTTCAAAGATTTCACAACTAATTGTCAAAAATTCATTATTAATTAACAACGATGATCATAAGATCACCCAAATCTTTTTCCTCGCTCATTCCCAAGTCATCACTCTCTCTCTCCCCCCTCCCCCCTCGCTCATTCACGAGTAATCAGATTTTTTTTTTTCCATTTTTGCGTTTTTAGTATTTTTTCTACGGATTTGAAATAATTAACTATAAACCCCCGTTTATGTAGAGCTTATTGTAATTATAAAATAGAATAAGATAATTACCTGCGGGAAGTTTGAAACCGAATTGCCTGAAAACTTGGAAAACTAGTCCAACAGTGTATAAATCGCATCCATCATGTCTTATCATCTGATTAAAATCAAGACTATCAAATGACTTCCCCACTTGCTCTAAGATGTTTATCTCAAAGTGATAGGAGACGCCAAGGCGACATAAAGTGTCAATGAACTTAATATTCTCTATCGGATTCACCAGGGAAGCCAAAAAAGATTCATTCACAGCGTCCTTTAGCATACTATGTTTCTCTTCCAATGTCTCATCACTTCCCTATATGTCAATGGAGTTATATGAGGATGTAGACATAAGCGAATCAACTCAAAATATATATAGGCGAGTAAAGAGGAGTAATATATATTGTGTTTCCTCATATTTTATATTCGATTCAAAACTTATCGCTTCTCAAGTTAGAAAGTAGGGCTATATACAGTAAAATTATAGAGAAATATATAGTATGAAAAGGATATACGTACGAGGTCATAATTTGAGAAAGTAGTTAAGAGATCTTCCCAGATATTCGGTGGATAATCAGCTATCGGACGATGGACTTCACTCTCCATTCTAAACGTTCTCGGTAGCAATTAATCGTCCTCGCAACTTAGTCACTTGCGGTTCCACAAATCTCTACCTACACAATCACACATATATATATATGTATATATATATATATATAGGAAATAAGAAACAACTGAATAATGGTAATTACAAGAAAGAGTCGACCTGATCATGATTTTAGGCATTGGATAGTTTCCACCATATAAACTGATTAGTGGTCATTCTTCTCTTCTGTTAGGATGGTCCACATTGAAAATTAATGAAACCATACGAGGTTCATGTTATGTTATATATTACTACAGATCAAAAAGTCATTTCACTTCGCATGTGAATCTGTTATATGTTTGGTCCACACAATCACTCCGACCAAAACAATATTAGCTAAGAGCCTAGCCTAGGACTACGTTTGCATCATATAAAAGAATCTTTTTAAAAAGATAACCTCAAATATCATTGATTTTTTTTGTTTCTATTGTTTTCTGTAGGCCATTCGGTTTTGGATTGCTACGTAATTTCTGATTTTTTTTCTTTTTATTTGAATGAATATAAAAGTTATATACCAAAAAAAACCATTGTTACATTAAATGACTTTGTTTTGCATTTTGGAAATGTTTAAAACGTGCTTCTTGTTGCGAACCATAGCATCAGTCCGCTTTCGAAGCGTTTGTCTCCTGCGGCTTGAAGGGTGCTTAGGCGGTTTCTCATTGTTTTGTCAATGAGTTGGATGAGTCTCTGCATTATCGATGGAGGTTCTCCATGTTTGCGTCCATATTTTCCCACCCAGATTGAGTGTGTTATGGCTTGGAATAGGTAGCGAATGATGAACATATCAGTAGGCAGTCTTGGTGTGAGGTGGAAATGAAGTGAACAAGAGCCAGTTAATATGTTGTGTAATCGTTTTGTAGTATTCCATGGACCAGAGCAAACCAAATTGCCGATGAATAACTACAAGAGAAGAACCAGAGGCGGACCTACTTAGGGTTATGGGGTGTCATGTGACACCAGTAAAATCTCATATTAATTGTTTCATGGTTGAAATATTACTGCTTTCGTTGGATTAGATGGTAAAATTCTTTCTCTGACTCCTCATGAATGAGAGCTTTTCCATTTGGCACCTTAACCATGTTTTTTTCTCTTGATTTTGTTTGTATTTATATTCTTTTGTAACACAAAGTATAACTGTTTTAATGGAAAAATGGCCAACTCATACACGTACTATTCCAAATGGTAGTACCTAAGAAATTTAGGTGTCCAATATCATACCCAGACTCTACATAATTGAAATATTCATATCGTACTACTTTTTTTCGGCAAAAACCAACACTCCGTTAATCAAACTTATAAAATCGTTTAACGGTAATGACTCATCTTCCACATATGCTTCTTAGTTGGCATCCAGAATGGCAAAACAACATCGTTTGGAGATTTTTTTTTTTATAGAAAAAGTATCTCACACTCGCATCTTTAAACACGAACCGAGAACCTCAAAGGAAAAAATTCATACCAATTGGGTCAAACAAACAAGTTGCATGTTGATTACAAATAAAGTTTATAGACAAAATATTTCGTGGACCATTTAAAGGACGACTTTCTTCTTTGTCTTCGTGGAACTCCATCTTCTTCAACTCGCACTACGACCATGTTCGAACTTACCTTTGATTAATTTTTTATAGTACTTATTTTTACATGATATATGAGTTTAAACATACACACAGACAACAAATAGACAGCGAACCTTAACTTTTTCCAACTTTTCATTATATAGATCAGGATTAAGAACATTCATTATCATTTTATCATGATTCTCGCAATGTGAAGGAATATTGTCCCACATCGGAAGTTGGAATGAGACAAGACTAATATATAAAGAATTTGGGCCAATCCATTCATTGCCAATTGGTTTTGAATTGGAAGCCCAGGAAACTTAACATGGTATCAGAGTCCAGATCCATTCTAAACACACACAGCTCCATTCTCTACCTAAATACTCGATTCGACCTAAAAAAAAAAAATGTCGTGATCATTCTACTATCTCGGCCCGATCCAAAGATTCGTCCGGCCAATCTAACCTAAAACTAATCCTAAATTAGAATTCTTTCGAGATGAATGGTTAAAAGAACCATCATCTCGAGAGGACGTGTGAAGGAATATTGTCCCACATCAGAAGTTGGGATGAGACAACACTAATATATAAGGGATTTGGGCCAATCCATTCATTGCCAATTGGTTTTGAGTTGGAAGTCCAAGAAACTTAACATGATTCTCGCAATAAAACCACAAAATTGATCTGTAATATGTGTTGTTTTTTTTTCTATAAATTTCATATAAGTTCTTGTGTTGGGTTTTGCTACATTGGATTCTGTAACCTCGCTTTTGCTTTTCGATTTCCATTTTCTCCTTGTTATTTTGAGCCCTTTTGGGTGAGAGGAAAACGGGATTCTCGATGAAGTGTTCCAAATCTACGCTGAATTCATCGTTAATTAGAGACGGGACATGGAATACTCCCAAAAACCCTAGCGCCCAATGTTCTTCTCCGATTTGAAGAAGATGATCTCGATGAAGAAGAAGACGACCAAACAAAACGCCATAGCTTAAGTTTTTTTCTTACCCGTTCCACAAAATATAGTGTCTATATATATTTTTTGATGTCGATACTATGAAAGTTCCTTTAGCCCAGTTGGCAAAATGTATGTTTTATCTATTTTTGTTGATTTATTGTCGTTAACAATTTTACAGGTTTGACTAACAGTCTAACATAGTGTTGGTTAATGTTTGTTTTCGTAAAAAAAATAATATGAATATGAATATTCTAATTTTGTAGAGTTTGGGTATGAAATTAGATACCTAAATTTCTTAAGTACTAATTTGTACCATTTGGAACAGTTCGAGCATGAATTGACCGTTTTCCAGCGTTTTAATCTTATCATCTCCAACCTCACGCAAATTTCTACTCTATTCTACAAGTAAAATTTATTCTAACCTAACTCTATTTTTCACTCTAAAATTTTTGAACAGTGACCCAACTATATTTTCTATCCATATGATTATTCAAAATTTTCTTTAGTTTGACATATAATAATAATAATAAATGTTTATAGGTCTGTCACTATAAAGGTGGTTTCGAGTTTTTGTTGGGTTTTGGCAAAGGACACGGAGACCTCAAGAAAAGGAAAATAAATAAAGAGTGAAAAGAAAAATAAGACCTTAGAAAAAAAAAAAAAGCGACATGTAATTATATAATGGTAGAATTATCAGTGAAATGGACATACACTGGTTGGCTACTATCTAAGCGAACTTAGTACAACAAAATCTTATTATACAAAGAACATTGATTTAAAGTTAGTAACACATATTAAAATCTGATCGTGATACATGTCAATGTCAAGTTAAACGATTAGATTTTGAGATGTGAGTAATTAATTTTTAATTATATTTTAGCAAATTTTATTTTTAAAAAATTAACAAGTTCCTAATCGTAAAAGTAAAGAGAAAAAATGATGTTCAAATTAAAAAAAATAAATAAAAAGAGTAAAAGCCATAGTTTATAAAAAAAAAATTGAATTTCAGTTTAGTATTAAAAAAATTAAAAAAAAATAGATTAAAACTCACAACCAACAATTCATTTGCTAATCTTTTTAATTCATAAATTATAAGTAAATTTTTTTCATGTTACTCATGTTAGGTTAATATATATAATAGTTATTTTTACATTAGTGTAGTCAAGTTGAATAGTCTTGATTTAATTATTTGGTCTCATTATTTTGTGTTTAAAAATTATGATGATATCTGATAACTTTATTTTCAAATTTATATATTATATATTTTCACGGGTGAATTTTTTTTTATTTTTACAAATAATAATATATTAAATTATAATTTCTATATATGCGGATACTTATCGAGTTTAACATAATCAACTATTTTAGTATCAAGATTCTCGATTAAGTATATGCCAAAGCTATATATATATATTTATAGTTTTACTAAAAAAATAATACTATTTAGGAGATTTTTAGTCTTCTGCTGCGGGCAAGTCTCTTGTAAAACTACAAAGACGTCAAGGCCTGGAAAACACAATGAGGGTGTGTTTTCCGAAGGCACTCCGACATTCAAGACAGTAAACAGCTCAAAAAAGACCATAGTATAGCTGTTCGGAGAGCGGAAAGAAGTCGAAAAACTTTGTGAAGGAATATGAACCGAGAGTTCTTGAGAAAAGTAGGATCTACTCGGGTCTTGGAGTGAGAATAGACTTTTTAAGGTAAAAAAAAAGAAAAGAAAAGTTTGAAAGTGGAGGAGCTCAATGGTTTAGGAGCCGCCGTGGAGGAGGAATGAAGTGAGATGACTGGAAAGATTGTCGGAATTGTGTAAAGTGTCTAGACTTAAGAACCACATGTATCTAGAGAGATATCGTGAGATTTAAAATGGCTAAGAGTGTGAACCCCCATAGATGGCGGGTCGGGTGGATCGGCCCATGACTCGACTGAACTGAATTCGAATTTTATGATGACAACACGTTTCTGATGGTCTCACCAATTTTCCTGGGCGTGTTCTGCCTGTAGCGAGACCGTCTCTTGGCGTGTCCCTTTCGTTCTCAGTATACGAGTTGGGTCGGCGGCTCAGACGCGGTATGGCTCTTTTCTGAACCTCTGCTTTTCCCCCTGGCTCCTGCAAAAAGTCACTTTCACGTGATTCACGTATGAAAAACACATTAAATGTCATTCTCATGGGTTTGTAAGAGGATGGAAAATCAAATCAGGCTAAAGCATATTCATATTGTTGAATTGAGGGAAATTCGAATAGTTTCCCCGCTCAAATGGATCACTCATACCTGGCTTGGATCTCTCGATACTGGGACCAGCCTGCCGTGGACGGAAGATTTTGTTCTCCGGATACCTGTGCGGGACCACTTTTTTTTTTTATATTCTGACCTTTCCGGATCACTGAATTTAGGTGTAGGACATAGAGAATGTGACCTCTCCTCTTCATGACTACTCAGTTTCCGACTTCTTTGTTTCTGATA